TTATTAGCCAGAATTAGCTGTGGAAATCCATTTGTTATTAGCTGTTTAGGATCTCAATCAGTAAGCTTGAAGATGGGAAACAAGAGCTAAAGCTGTCGGCACAAACATGACACCCATTAGTCTAAGAGGTTTAGTGTGCTTATTTAAGTCAAAGAAAATGAAATTAAGCATATAAATTAGTCAAAAGCATATGAAGGAATCATAACCATACCATGCGCGTCATGACAATTTCTTTGATAAACAATCACAAAGGCCAAGAACACATTCCACTTAAGCTGCCAGCTTAGAAGAATCTCTCTCTCTCCATCCTTATCCTTTATTACCGTCTTTGATTCTTAATTAATCTGGTTAACCTTATAATAAAGTTAATCCTCAGTCTTATCCTTCTTGGTTAAGAAAACCCCAACTTTAAATAGATACAACTTTTCGAGACACTCCGTCCTCCAACCCTTCTCTCTTATCTAGGGAACGGAGAAGAAAGCTAGCAATGTCATGATTCTATAGCCTGGGGTTAATTTTATAGTTGAAAGCTGAAACCATAATAACCGAAGCTCGGACTTTTCAGCCATGAACTCAAAAGACAAACCCATCAATACTTCTCTGCTGACAAGTGTCATAGTTGATTTATGATGTATTGTGTTGTATCAACATTTATTAAATTCATAATTGGCTAATTTATAACAATTTTATATCAAAATCGTATAATGTATAAATTATGTTTGGCGAATTCGTATGGAATCATTTAAAGGTCTAATGAAACTAACAAATTTATCAAACAAATTCAATAAGTTTTAGTCTAAAGTCACTAATTTTATCACGATATTATGTCAAAATTCACCAATCCCGTCTAAAATTGTCAGGCCAACACATCTCATGAGTGGGTATCCTTCAGTTGAGAAGGTCCGAATTTGCTGGCGATGGGGCATCCTCCATCTGTCGCCATAGACCAATTTTCTTTTGTTAGAAAGTGTAAGCGGCAATGCAGCAACAGTTATTTATGTCAGTTGCTTATATAGGAACTTATAAATCAATCCTACACGTATCTTGATCGATCCTTCAAGTTAGCTACATTATCTGAGTTCCTTCAAAAAGATTGTGTTGTTTGGAAGCAGTATATATGCATGTTACAAGAGAGAAAAAGAACAGTAGCTAGTTCAGTCCAAGGGGCAACCCCAGCTTCAAATTTTTGCCTCAATTCTCAAACTTAAACACAGAAAATACGGTAATCCTCTTGTCACCTAACCTGCAGGTATAGCAAGCATGGTTTACTTGCAGGCATGGGACGTCTACCATGCCCATATCTCTGTATATGTAATATATTCGAGTAAAACTACAACACTAAAGAATTATTACTTGACATTTTAATCGAAATTAGTACAAAAAAAATGTGAGCTTATGACTTAATGAGGTAAGATTACGATAAAATGGCGTTATTTGACATCGATTTTAATATTTTATAATTAATATTAATTCTAAAATATTAAAATCGATTATAATTTTTTATAATCATGACCTGATGTTATTAAGATGTAAGTTTCTAATCGATCTTTTTAATGGTGACTAACTCTTACTTATTTATTTGTAGTTTTAGGGAGGACTCCTCATTCGGCGTTTATACATATTCATATTATATATAAAATAATATTGGCGGCTATTTGTATGAAGAGATTGGGTACCTGCTGGTCTGAAAGAGCTGTGAATGAATGGGAGTGTGAAAAGTGGAAGGACAGAATATATGGTCCCTCTCCAGTAGTTTTGGGGTTAAGACGCGTGGAAAAGGTTGAGGTTGCACCCCATGTGCCCTTACGTGGAGTGAAAGCTGTCTTGGTCACTCTCCTTTATAAACATTCTTTTTGTAATTTTTTATACTTTCTATCTGTCTACCAAACAACCAAGTTTATACTTAATATTAGAAGAAAAATGAAAGGAAAAAATAAATAAATATACTTGACTTATCACAAACCCTTACATATAAAAATATTATAAATAATTTTGTCAACATTTGAATATGTTCAATGTTGTTTGAATTAGATATAAAAATAAATAAATATGTATACAAACATAATTAGTATATTTAGAAGTTTTTTCTTGAGAAATGTATAGGTTTTGAATTAGAATTGCGACAGTTTAAAAGTATATTGGAGAGCAAAAATGTTAATTTATTCAAAAAAATATCTTATCTTCAATTTTTCTCTCACTTTCCTCCCACTTTTGGGAGGAAAAATAATGGTGGGTTAGAAGAAAATATTTTCCATCTAATTTTCTTTCCTCTCCTATTTTCTTTTGGAATCAAACAATGTTAAATCTTTCTTTCCACCCCATTCTAATGTCGTAGAATGGTTAGGTCTTTGACTAGGATTGAGTATCAACCTTGGCTTCGTTCTTTTGCTTGGGCCAGTTTTATTATTAATTTTTTTTTTAGTTATAATCGTTCCAATCACCTACATTTCATAGAATTCCATCATCCAAATTTTACCAAGGAGAAAATCTCTTAAACTTAGAATACTACTTGATTACATATAAAATGTGTCACCATGTTATCCGCACAGGCAATCTAGTGGGGTGAGATAATTTCATGCCAATTATAAATTTGGACTCCTAAGTTTGATTCTCATTGAGTGCCTCCTAAGATTAATCAATATTTGTAATTAGCAGATAAGTGCATATGTATCCAGAATTCACCACACTACAGTTGGTCTATTGTAACCTTGCATTGAAAAATTCCTTGTTACCAAAAGAAAATGCCACGCCTTGGTCCATGGAGTAACAAGTATGGATGACTAAGGTGTGGTGAATCTCTGTCCAAAAAGTAATTCAGCAATTTGAAAAAAAAGTTATTTAAATGATCACTTTCGTACAGTATCAAATAGGGATATCCTTCCAATACTCATTACCTGACGCAATAGGATGCCCGTGATTTTGCAGGTGAGAGTTTTTCAGTACCCCTATCCATTTGGCTTTTAGAACAAAATTATTAGTTGTCACTCTGCTAGTTTTCGTATGCTAGTCTGGGTGGCAAACAATGAACTAGCTTCCAGCGGATTGGCAGAGCACAAATAAAGAGGTATTTTCCTCGTGTCCTTTAAGTTGCCATTGTCCAATCCCTTTTAACTCTTGTTCTGCTTGTTCCTTTGAAAAAAGACACAACTTTTCGAGGACAGAGAAAGTGGGCATTCTTTTCTTGTCCATGCTCAAATATTCCTGCAGAAGATTGCCAAGCTTGCCACGACTCCTACTTCACCCCTCCCAATAAGTCTCTGTTGTTCGTTTGGGACCAAATCATCTTTTTTATTTCAAAATAAAAATAATTCAAAAACATAAAAATAGCTGTAAGAATGCATGCAAAAGCTTTAATCATATGAGCTAAAGTTATAATATTCAAAAAGTTATGAATGATGATAAAAAAAAGTTCAGCTTTAAAGATAAATTTACACATTTTAAAGGTAAAAATAAAATTTATTCAGATTATTCATGATCAATTACAATATTTTATGATTGATCACAAACATTATGATAGATAATAAAATATTGAAGTTGATTATAGCATATCAGGATAGATAATAAAGAGTTATAATTTTATTTTTAAAGTATAATTTATTCCTAAATAAAAAGTATTTTTGGTATACTATTATTTATTTTATTTTTGTGAGTATGATAACTAGTGGTGTGTTCTATACAGCTGAATTGTTTGGGGATCACTAGAGTATCCAGTCAAAGCTGCTAGGCTCTTGGGGGTTGGATTAATGATTCAATTCGATGACAGATAATGAATAGACAAGAAATTTATAATAGTTCACCAGCTTGAAATTTTGGTAGTCAAATTTAATGGAGTTTCTTGTTCCTAGGGGTTTCCTATTAATTAAGGGGACAGAGATTACACAGAGTAAATGCACAGACGATTGCTTAACCTTTGTTTATAGTGTACGATTGTCCTGTGTGATCTTTGCCATCCTCCCGTAACCCACGCCCTTGTAACATAATCAATGTGTCTTCCCTTTAGGTTGTTGCAACCCTTGCGTCAGAATATTTGAGCGTTTTGATTATACTTCTTAGGCATTGACGCAGCCTTCTTGAAAGTAATAGTTGTCGCTATCATCGTGTGTACGAGAATTTTCGACTTGCACGCTTGAACTAATGATCCTGAGTTATGGGGTCCAAACTTAAATGTCCGACATAAGCTGATCAAACTTGACCTTAGATAATTTATTGTACCATCAATAGCATTTCCTATAAGATACTTCTAGCATAAAGAGTTTTGATCTTTGTTAGTGACCTAGATTTGATCAGGAGGTGGGCTTGGGTTTCAGAGATTACTCTCTCTGTGTTAGTCTGACGTAATAGCTTAGGTCAGAATCTGAGTTTACACATTTGTTTTTAATTTTTGGGTCCTTTTTTCCACACATTTCTGCCCAGCCAATCACAGTGCTATCTCGAGCCGCGCATATGTGCTAGTGATATAAAGCCATAACCAAGCTATAGAGGGAGAGCTTGGCTGGTAGGCGGTATCCATAGGAAGGGCACAGTACCGTATAATTGGACACGAAAGTAAGTGACATCTCCAAATCCAGAGGCAACCCAACTCTTTGTTTATTCACTTTGAGGCGGTCAGGTTTTGGGATCCCAAACCTTACATTACACACATATTTATTAATTCTCATTTTCTAATTATTTTTTGATACCAATCAAAGTAATTAAGATATGTCGAAAATTTTAATATTTTATTATTTTTATAATCAATAATTATAATAAGTAAAATAAAGTATACAACTGATTAAAAAATTTTGGAACGATACCCGAGCAATAGCCTTGTGCTATCCATTACTACTTCATGCTAATTATTGTTTGTGGTTTTTCTTTCAAAGCAACAATTGGCCCTTCCCCTCTTATCCATTCAAAAACTTCCAATTAAGTACGGGATAAAATCGATAATTAAAGACCCATTTGTTTAAGCCTTTATATTTTTAGTAATTAGGATTTAAAAAAAAAAATAAATTTCAAACATGCGTGAAGAAGAGGCAAAGTGGATTACAAAGGTAGGACCCCTAAGACTATTGCATGCCGTAAACTCAACTGTGATGCCGGGAGTGATATGTCATTTGTAGGCCATTTCGATCAAGTGAGTAATTCAATTAAGGTTAAATTCCCCAACTTAATCAAACTTCTGAAGGTTTAATATGGCTGCTGTATGCATGTCGCAATCCTGGAAAAGCAACATAAACATGATCACATGCTTCTAGATAGAAGTCAACAAAATGGTAGGGGTCCCATTGTGGAGTATATATTCAATGCGATGGTAATATCAAGTCCATAATGCTATGTAATATTATTGTTGTATAGAAAATTTTAAAAAATGAATAAAATAAATCCTATACTTTTACATATGGTTATTATATATTTTATTACATGAATATATAGTACTTGAAGTTTTAGAGATTTTTTTTATTTTTTTATTTTGAGACGTTCACTTGCCCGTTTATTACTTATTAGTTGTAGTCCCATGTCTAAAGCCACTTTATAATACCAAAAATTAAGCATTGGCCGTCAAACATTTATATTTTAAATCAAATTTTATATTTTTCTTTAATGACATAATTTAAAATTAAAGTGAATAGAGAAAAAATAAGAGAAAAATAGGAGAGAGAGTTATGTGTGAATTAATGGGGTTGTCGGACATTAAAAATGTATATGTTGAGTTGTTAGGTATTGGTAACTCTTCAGAGAAGATGTTTTTGAGAGAAGGAAAACAATTGGGGGATGAATTTTGTACTATTGAATTAAAATAGATAAAAATTAGATCAATTTTGACCATGATTTTATTTTTATAAATTGAAAATTCAACTTTATAGTTGTAATATAAGATAGATTATTAGACGGTGACTCCTGTGATAATGTTATTGTGGTATTATCGTCACATTGGATATTTTTCTACATTGTAGATGAATAGAGGGTCACCAGTTGTGGATCGTTCCGACACATTGGGTCACATTGGAAGCTTTAATTATGCACATAAGGTATAGATACATTGTACCATATTAACCTAGTCACGTTTCACCAAATCAGAGAAAAAGGTGCAGCTAGTGTTTTTCAATTCCATTACCCAAATTGACAAATTTCTCCATTCCAATGGTTCATAATTCATGGATGGCATTCTTGACAATTTCCACAAAATCAAGGTTCATTTGGTTTTGCTGTCTTTATAAATGAAGCCTTCCTTGCGGGGCATTCTCCAAAGTCCTAAGACAACAGCCCCTTAGTCTTCGCTCCAACTTGATAGATAAAGTCAGCTCTGTTATCTTCCTCTCAGACATCCACTTCTTCCCCCAACAAAATAACGAGAGAGAGAGAGAGAGAGGCAGAGAGATGACAACCAGCATGCATCATCAAGTTGATGATCAAATGACACTCATTTCTCAGTATTATCCAGACATATGCAGCCTACTGGTTCCAGAACAAGGTCAGTACAGTGAGCAAAAGAAAAGTTACATTACATGCATTTATTTGACTATGCACTCGGACGTGAGAACATAATATGAAGTTTTGACAATGTTTAGGGGAGGCTACTAAACCGAGAAGAAGACGCAAGAAAAGCAAAGGAGAAGCTAGTAGCAGCGGAGTGAGAAAGAGAAAGTTGAGTCATGAACAAGTTGATCTTCTTGAGAAGAGCTTTGGAAATGAACACAAATTGGAGTCTGGGAGAAAAGACAGGATTGCTTCTGAGCTTGGACTTGATCCACGCCAAGTAGCGGTTTGGTTTCAGAACAGAAGAGCGAAATGGAAGAGCAAGAACCTGCAGGAGGCGTACTCCAAGTTAAAGACGGAACATGAGGGCACTGTTATCGAGAAATGCCGGCTTGAAACTGAGGTACAACATCTCTCTCTCTCTCACACACACACGGGGCGCACAAGGAGAGAGAAAAGCTGCAAGTTCATGACATGGTTCTTTTTCTTGATTGCTTGTTCCTTAAGCATCCATTTGGGTAGAATCTAGGGAGACAGTATGAAAAGATGTGATAGCTTTTCTTTCTGTGGGGGAACCAGGTTTTCTTTCCGTTTCCCACGAATTCTAGCCAACCAAACAGTTCTACCAAAAGCGGATGCTATCTGACACAAATACGTATTCGTTCTCACTACTTTGTGGAGTTCCCTTTATTTTCTCCACAAATTATATTGTAGTCCTTAGTTTTTGTAGTGACTATCGTTTATTATTCCCATAGTACGTGGTAAGTAATTATTTTCTCTATGTTCAACCAAAAACCTTCATGAAGATCAAAAAAGTAAAAAATTTCATGGAGAAATTAAGAAAATATATGCAACACCATGAAAAAAACCCAGCGAAAAATCCACAAGAACTAGGACTAGGAGGCTGTCGCGTCTTCAGACAGCAAAAGATGCTTAAGGTGGCTACTACATGCTCAATTCACAAGGGTCCGTACATGGTTGTTTAAGGCGGCTGCAGCTGGGCGACTCCCCACCTGACAATCCGCCCCTTGATGCACCAGATTTGAACACAGTACACCCCATTCCAAAGCTTAGATTATAACTAATGCTGAGGCGACGTTGTATGAGTAAGAGTAATTATATTGAGACCTAAAAAATAAATTTAATTTATTAATTTAATCATATGTTAGTAATACTGTTCAACTGTATTATTGTGATTATAACTGTTGGACATTTTCATCGAGACTTCATCACTAAATACGTCATTAGGCCAATAGATTATGTTAAACTTTTAGGTTCAAATAATATTACTTCATATAATATTATAGTCATCATATGCGAACTCAACAAGAAGTAATTGTGTTCGGGTTTAATCATTGAATTTGAGCGGTAAATATGTGAATCTGTCATTCCTCTCAAACAAATGAATTGACACAAACCAACTAAACAAGAATTGGATTCAAATTAATACGATTCATATGACACGAATTTGACTGTATATACATAATTATAAATGAAAGTATTAAACTTTATCAGGACACGACCTGACTGAAATGGTTTGTACACCTCATTCCCACCCTAAGTTGAAACTCCCTATTGTCATCGTTTAACAACACTGAATTTGATTAGTTATTGAAGCTCAAGGAACAGCTGTCAGAAGCACAGGGGGAGATTCAGAAGTTATTGGAGCGCTGTGATGGGGTTTCAAGCAACAGCCCTAGTTCATCATTCTCAATGGAAGTAATGGAGCCACCTTTTCTTGGGGAGTTCGGGATGGAAGGATTGGAAAATGTGCCCTATGTGACAGAAAACAACTATATTCATGGACTGATGGAGTGGTTGAATCTTTGTGATATGTGATTAAATTAAGCATCCTAGTTTGCAGATATTGGCTCCCTATTGTAAATCTTTTTTTCCCCTTGTTTTCTAATTAAGCTGTTGTAAATTGCTAGGACCATTACATATCCTCGTCTTCCCTTGGTGCATTATTGCTGGTGACTGTCCCTTTTTGGTCGATAATTTAAGCGCAAAAATAGGAAAAATAAGTGCTTATTATGTCTGTAGTAAACCGACAAATTGATAAACGGCTACTCCAAAATTAAAACTAGCCACAGAATTTGCATTTACAAGAATGCTGTATTAAAAAGAGTTTTATCCCTTCAACTAATGGTGGTGGCCTGGTATCTTACAAGATTGAAGGAACTATTTATGTGATACTAGTGACACCCTGTGAGATGCACAAATCGATTTTTCTCCCCACCTACAATCTCATAATGAGTATGGAATATTCAAGTTTCGCGAAGGAGTGAGGTATTAAGGGTTCAACATTGTTAAATGTTGCCCACAAATTTGAGAAAATGAGTGTAGCAAGAGTTCTAGTTAGTTACTTAAGTCCAATTGTTATGAATTGTTTGGATCAAACAATTTTCTTAATTAATTAAATTTAAAATATGCAATATATTATTAAAACTTACAAGGCATTTTTGCAGGTTTTTAATTAAACAATGGTAATGGGAATTAGAACCCATCCAAACCCACCAGCGTTCTTTACGGCATATCAAATAAGATATTTACAAATCAGCTGAATGCAAATGATGCCCAAACACCAAAACACTGGTTGTAATCAATTTTTGAAAGTGGAATATTGTCGAGTACATTATTCATTAATTTCTCTCATTAAATCATCAATCATTGATTTGAAGCGAGACCAGTAATATTCAAGTGAATATTCAACCAATACATTGTGGATGATTTACCACTAAAAACAATTGAATAAAAAAAAATGTACTACCAATCTGTCAACCCCTCCCTTCTGCCCCGGTAAAAAAAAAAAAAAAAACCACTGCCATTCATTTTGAGTCATAACCTAAACACTAGACCAGAGGTTATACTGCCATCTAGTCTTATATATTTTTTCCGAATGTGGGTAATGTAATGTTTATCAAATTGTTTTACTAAATTTCTATCCTAAGATGTGACACAGTTTTTTACCATTAGATAAATGTGTTCCGCAAATATTTAATGATGGAGATTGTGTCACATCATTTGATAAAAAATTTGATAAGGGTAGTATTTTCCAATGAACGCATATTGGTGCAACCATGCCATGGACCACCATTAGATTCAGTTCCCAAAAAACTCCATATACTTTTATCTTTCAGATCTAGGACACCTGGGAGAGCAATCTAGAAACACTTCCAATTTCAAGAAAAAATTATATCGGGACAGTGTTTGGCAGAGCCAATAGACCAACACGTGTTCAAAAATCAGACTTAGATGATCAAAATATGGATCATTAATTGAACCATAAGCAAAGATAGTAAGTGCTTACCATGTGCTGAAGCTGGTGGAAGCTTACAGAAAGAAAGAGAGACACCAGCTTGGAGTTAGTGAAAGAATATGAAGACATGAAATGAGAAAACGTTGAAAGACCACAAACCCACTTGTCTTCGATCGACGCCTTGTGCGATTTCTGATATTTTAATCTCTATAAGGTACAGCTTAGAGCTGTAGGGAAGATTTCTTGCTTCTAAGTATGGGGAGTGGTCTTACTTTGTGTTTTGTGCAAGTGTTATGTGGACACTCACCTTTAATGAAAGTGATACGCTGGGGGCTTGTCTTCCAATAGCAGAGATATGATGAATGGTAGTCGCTTTTATCTTTATGGATTTCCTTTTTTGCATTTGACTATCGTCTTTTTTAATGAACAAACAGGCAACATTTAGGCTGGTTTTATTACTATTATCTACGCACCAAGTACTTATAATTTTTACAGGTTTGAATTTCTTTGATTTGTCATGAGTTTATGTTCGACCCACTATATATAAGTGAATCTCTCATATCAATCTATAGTAATTGATTTATTATTGAGGAAAATTAGGAAAAAGTATATTTGGAAAAATCTTTTATCGACTTTTGTGGTCACACATACTAAATCATGTTATGTGTTGACAAATGATAAAACTAAGGTGTTTATTGAGCATAGAATGCTACAATTAACCCTAAAGTTTGAGTTTCGTAGACTTAAAGTCATAACATATTCTAGATTATTATTGCACGAATTAAGGCGTAATCTAAGGGACTTAGAGGATTGAGAAGCCTCATGATGCGACTGGTAACGGTGAGGGAAACATGGGACTGCTTGTTGCATATCCAACACAAACAAAATTGACTACAAAAAATTAACAAATGTTGACAGTGTGTTGGAATTACTCCAATTAGATATCACTCTAATAGCACTATGTTGGAATCAAGAGAACTAGAAATAAAATAAAATGAAGTAAACGAAAATATGGACACTTAAAGAAAAAAAATTTCATTCAAGTTGATTACAACCACAACTTGGACTTCTCACATACTCAACTATACTTGCTTGTAACATTAGGTCATATACCCTATTTATATAGGTCATACATATAATTCCTAACATTACATTAAGGTACCATAAGTGGCAGACCTAGAAAAATATTATTGGGTGGGTACTTTAACACGTTTAATCCAATCGATAATAGCAAGATGACAAATTTATACTATTTATTTCATCAATTATTCTTAAAAATTCTATGCACATATGTGTACAATAGAAAATAGATTAATTATAGTCTTTTATTAAAAATGTCGTTAATTGTAGTTGAATTTTCAAATTTTGATAGCGTTGTCATTTGATTTCATTATTAATAAATAATAAAATTAATACCAAAATCATAGATATGAGCACTAAAGGATATACCACGTATTTTTTTATTTTAAAATTTTGTCAGCAAGATCACAAATCTTTGCTAGGTTTTAAACTCAATGCTAAAGTGCACATCAATAATAAATGATTTAGTAGATCAATTTTTTTTAAAATGAACCCAATATGTTCAAATTAATTTGAATATATTCAAAGTTTGTGCATTGTTAATCATTTAGATATGAGTATATACTAATTAATATAATAAGAAAATAAAATAATGTTTACAGGGATCTAATTTAATGTAACCGTTGGACTTTATTTATTTATTTTTTTTTAGGGATGGGAAGGGAGAAGGACTTAGACTCTTGATTTCAAAAAGACAAAGACTTCACAAGGCAAGGAATATCATTGAACCAAAGACTCTAAGTTCCAAGGTTACATGAAGTCCACTTCTAATTCAGGTTCCCAAATTATCTCATCAAATTAGATCTCAATAACATTTAAAAAAAAAAAATAGGATGAGCATAATTAGATATACTAAAAAAATATAATAACTAATGGTAAGACAAAAAAATTGAGTGGGCACATTGCTACCCTGGTCCATGAGTGGCTTTGCCACCGACCATTTTCTCTATTTGCTCTTGTAACCACTAAAACATTAAGGGCCAATTTCTCCATTACTTGGATAATTCTTTCACTACTAAAACAATTCACTAACCCACTTCATACGTACTACTTGACCTCAAAAGTGGATAGCTAATAAAGTGGTTCCTAAGCATAGAAATGTATCGTTTTTAACTCAATCGATTATCAAGGTCATCTCCTCAGGAAAAACGAAGGTTAAATTTCATCAGTGATAAGCAGATAAAAAGAAAACTCTTGAATATTTGAGAAAGGGTTTTTGAAAGCAAAAAACTAAATAACAATAATTAAAGAAAATCGGTTAATCGTTACAGTTCATTCCATCGTTAATTATTTAATTCTGACCTAATCCTATAGCTCACTCATGATTGTAATCAAACACATTCAAGTGGAAAGTATTCAACTAAAACCTAATGAAAGTGACAAATGTGTATTAAAAATTGATTGACTTAATTTTGAAAGAATTTCATTCACGTTGATTACAGTGATTCCAAGAATTGTCTGTGCTAATTTTAAATTGTTTACGGATAAAGAAAAAGATATACATATCACCTATGTTTTCAATTTTAATTATTCAGTCAACAAAATAACTTAATCTTTAGAAAAAAAAACCCTAGCTAGTTCAAAATCTCCATTCACGAATGAGAATCCCTCATCTGATTATACCAGAATTATACTACTCAAACATAATGAAGGTAAAATTAAAAGCAATAAAAGAAGACATGATAAATTAAAGCAAATCGACAATTGAATATAAACTTGAATTAAAACTTTGTATTGAAATAAGAATTGAAAACCAATTACAATAAAAGAAATAAAATACTATAAATAGTTCAACATAATTGAAAATAATGAAGACTTGTACTTGCAAACTAAAACTAAATAAAGAACAATGAAGGAGGAGGAGGAGGAATAACAGCCCTCTTGTAAAGAGCCCTAGGAGGAAAAACGTGTCCCCAAAGAGCTCCCATAGGTTGGTATTTATAGAAAAATGGGAGAGAGATATGACTGAATTTTAGAGATCCTCTTTTCTTTTTATGTCTAACTCTTATTTGTAGAAAATCTACAAAAATATCTCTAAAGAGATGACCAATATGGAGAGTCTTATTCTATACAAAATACTATCTATTTTTCCTCCAATAATCTTTAAGAACAAATGACCTAAAGAGTAGATAATAAATGTATGAGCACAGGGTCATTGCTGATTTATAACAGTGATGAACCGATAGAAAGTAGGTCTCGACCTATAGGTAAAAAAATATTTTGTTTCACAAGAACTGGTAGCTCTTCACAACTATTGATAGAACTGCTCTCTGTTTTGGACCTACTGGTAAGAGAATAATAAACTACTGGTAGAAAAGTTTCTCTTTCACTTCTACCGGTTGAAATTAACTGCTACTAGTACACAATTCAATTCTGCTCACTGTTGAACTAATAGAAGACCTATCGGCAGAACTGGTCTTTTTCCCCAATTCCCACAACCTAAAGCAAACCTTATTGTTACTTGCCTGCCATCTCTTTTCCTCTCTCTCTTCCTTTCTCT